GGCCAAGTCTTGAGACAACGGGAATTTTTTATGAGGTGGTGGGCTTGGTGCATCTAGAGGTCAGAAGATGATCTGATATCCAAGGTCACAAACATCAGCAACCACCCAAACAAGTTTCTTCCCACCTTTTTAAAGGCCACAGAAGATGATTAACCAAGTCTTGAGACACCAGGAATTTCTTGTGAGGTGGTGGGCTTGGTGCACCTGGTAGTCAGGGGTGGTTAGACACCAGAGGTCATAAACATCAGCAAACATCCAAACAACTTTCTCCCCACCATTTTAAAGGCCACAGAAGATGATAGGGTTAGTTTTGGATTGCTAATAATTTTTTGTGATGCTGTATGTTTTCTCCTCCCCCTACATCCACCCATGTTGGCCAAAGATATTGCAAAATTGGTTCAAGACCATGTAGTTACATGACTATGATACATATAGAGCCATTCTGATAAGATTCTAGCCTGCCCAAATAGGGTTATGGCATCCCAATATAGATATTTGGTAGCAAGACATGGCCGGCAGTAAAATGATCATAACTCATGTTCCCGACCACCAACTTCCTTAAGAGTTGGTGCAATAGCATCCCAGTGATATGTTTCATGATCTGAGATAGTCAGAATGGCTAAAGAATGTGGGATGTTATATATAATATATAGCCATAGGGTGTATAGTGGGGCTAGTCTGCAGGTGACATGATTGGTAAGAGTGGCGTGAGCGGTAACGTTGATTTCTTTCACTATGTGAGATATCGATCACCAAGGAGATTTGCAGCCTGTCCCTCTGTAGTCACCGAAATTTCGTATCACACAGCAGCGACAATTGATGCCGAAGGGATTTTCCATTTGGATACGGAATATAGAGAGAGGAACTTATTGTTCTACTTGATAACATCAAGGGGTAAGGGGAAAGCGGAGAGTGGAACTCACCATGCTACTTGATGAAAGGCAAGTACTCACCATCGTGGCGTATTGGATATGTGTGCGCAGCGGAGAAGGTGTCGAAGGCGGAAAGAGAGGGGAAGGTGAAATTTGAGAGTGCCCGCTATATGAAGTATAGGTGGTAGCGACTTCCTGCCAGGCGTTTTAAACACCAGGTGAATAATCAGGCCCATGGACACAACAGAAAAATCAAACCCATTGTCCGTCATAAATTCAATCTGGTGATCTGTGTGGACTTGAATGGGCCAAGAATGGGAACACAGGGTGTCGACCAGAGACATGGAGAAAAGCAACAGCGAGAATGCTTAGGAGCGTCGACACAGTCAAATACTCCACCTTCACAACACGGTGTCAACAATCAGCCAGAAGAAGATTCAACAGGACCGTCCAAAAGACATGGTGCAGGTCAATATCGCTTTCGACAAACCTCCAGGAGATGACAAATGAGCATTCAAGAGGCAGGTTACATCAACGGCAGACTGAGGGGGAAAACCCCTTGTTCTGCTTCAAAGATGTCATCTCTGACCATTATGACGAAGATATGATGCACAATGGTAACAATCGAGAGGAACTCACCATGCTACTTGATGACATCAAGACTGAAGGTAACGATCTAAAAAGTAAGTACTCACCATCAATGGCATGTTTGAGAAAGGGGCAGATGAATATGGGAGTGCATGCTATAAGAAGTATAGCTTGAGGTGACCTTCGCCTGCGATTCTGAGAAGAGAAGGGGAATATTAAGGCCCATGGACATATCAGTCAAGCCAACCCAATGTGCGTCATAAATTCAATCCAATGACGTGTGTCGACTGAAATGGTCCGCCCTCGCCACCGTGGCCAAGGAGGCAATGACGACACCCCCCACTTATGTGTTCCATTATGGTCCGCACAGAAGTTGTGACGCACAATGAGTGAGAGTGACAACCCCTGTCAGACAGACAAACATGGACAAATATCAGACTCAGGGGGTGATTATCAACTGTACCAACTGGAACAGGAAGGTCCGCCCATGCCACGGTGGCCAGGGCGGAAATTATCACATTAGCACACTGCGTCTGTCTGTGGTGTCTGTCGCGTATATGTTATGGCGCACGATGGAAGAATGATAAGATCATATGGTATCTCCCAATATTCGCCAAATGTCAGGCTCAGGGGGTATGTCACTCCTGTCTATCTGTGGTTATACTTGGGCCATACAATACAGTTCAACAGGTTCAGGGGTGGTCCGCCCTTGCCACCGTTGCCACGGCGGAATTTGGAAGATCGATCTTACTCTTTTCTGTGTTCCAATGCATCCGTCACAGAAGATATGACGCACAATTGGTATAGCAGAGGGGTACCCCTGTGGTGAATGTCGGTCATCGCCAAACGTCAGGCTCAGAGGTGGTCCGCCTTTGCCACCGTTGCCACGGCGGAATTTGGAAGAACAGTCCTCCTCCATTGATGTACCCATGTGTATAGGCGGTATACAAAGTGGATATACCACTTGTGCGGTAGTGACATTGTCGTCATTCGCCACTGGCCAGTCAGATCCCACACTTCACTATGGTGCGCAGCTGTCTTCTGTTTTCCTTTGCATCCATCACAGAAGATATGACGCACAATGGCTATAGCAGAGTGATACCCCTGTCATGAATGTCGGTCATCGCCAAACGTCAGGCTCAGGGGTGGTCCATCCGCATGATGTAGTGCTCGACGGGCCATTGTGCATCGGTGTGCTGTTCGCCCATATCATCAATGGGTGGTGGATGCTGCCATTGCCATTCGATGTATAGCTCAACTGGCCATGCAGCGAATGACGACAATGTCACTACCACCTCATCATGGGGGTGGCGCCCCCTGATGTCTAACAGGCTGGCTTATTTATGAATATGATCCACACCGAACATTTCAAAAAGGGACCGAACTCTTCAGGGAGGCCAAATCCATGCGGTATTTCATAAGCTCAGAACTGTAGTTATGGCGCACAATGGCAGAAATATGAGACACAATGATGGGCTCACATGTCTACATATAACTCCACCGGCCAGGTATCTGGCGGCATACTGTATTTTTACATACAGCTCCACCGGTGAAGCATGTAGCGCCACAATGAAATCTAAATTTCATTGGCGATGCATCTTGGTTAGGGGTGGACTGCCACCGCCACAATGGCTCAGGCGGAAATGGCCAAATCATCCTGCTCTGGTCAGGACCGTGTCTCTACCATAGAGAAGATATGGCGCACAATGGGTGTAGTAGAGGGGCGCCATATTTCTGACTGGCCATCATCGCCAAATGGACGGCTCAGGGGCTCACCACCAAGGCCAGCCCGGTATACACGATGGGGCGCCACCCCCATGATGAGGTGGTAGTGACATTGTCGTCATTCGCTGCATGGCCAGTTGAGCTATACATCGAATGGCAATGGCAGCATCCACCACCCATTGATGATATGGGCGAACAGCACACCGATGCACAATGGCCCGTCGAGCACTATATCACGCGGGTGGACCACCCTTGAGCCTGACGTTTGGCGAACATCGCCTGTTTGTAGGGATATGCCAGACAGGGCTACCATTGTGCATCACAAATTTCACTGCGGTGGACAGGAAAGACCCAGACGGAAAGGATGTCTTCGTCCTATCCGCCCTGGCCACTGTGGCATAGGCGGATCACCCCTGGCCCTGTTGAACTTATAACGAACAAACAGAAAGAAAGAAGTGGATAGGTTGCGTCATTAACTTCCGCCCTCGCAACAGTGGCGGAGGCGGACCATATCTGAACCTGTTGAACTTGATCACGAATAAAGAAGAAAGACATAAGTGGGTAGGTCTAGTCCATCACTTCCGCCCTCGCAACAGTGGCGGGGGCGGACAACCCCTGAACAACTATGTATGATTATTAATACTTTACATATCCGGTGAAAGCATACTTCGCTCATTATATTAAATGAAGATGTAATGATGGCGTCAGATGCATGGCCTGTGTACTTGTATCTATGCATGTGGCGCAAAAAGAAGTGAAGTTATGACGCACAATGGGTACTACCACTTCTTCCGTGTAGCTGTCACGAAATGAAGGTGGTGGTAACCATTATGCATTATATCTTCAATTATAATATATAATTATAAAATATTGGCAGTCCTCAAGTTTTGAACCAAGGGGCTGACGCGAAAGTGGAGAGCAGACACATTAACTGCTTGGCTAGGAAGCTGTTATACCAATTAAATAGAAATATATGTTGAGCCATTAAAATAATATATGCATGAAACGATTGTTTCATATCGCCTGTGGAGACTGCTACGTATAATGCATCATATGTGAGGATGTGTTGAGTCTGGGCATGTGATCCGCACTGACACACTGCAGCAATCAACTATGAATAAAGAATTGTCATGTAATATACAGCCGCGTATGGAACTGTGGCAAGCGCGGGGCTTCGACAAAGTGCAGATGATCATCCTTACGATGCATGTATTGAAATATGATACGAATAGGACGTGCGTACATACGATTGAGTCATTGTGAGACTAATGTCTATTATGATGGCGGTAATTGTTCACATGTCTATAGACCCGCCTACGCTACGGTGGCCATCGCGGATCTCGTTCACTTATTGTCGACGTCGTTTGTGTTGTGCGTGTTCTATGATCTCAACCTCGGAGTCAGAGTCTGTGTCAGGTGCAGGTCGCTTCTTGAGGGCGATGGATGTCATAGCCGGATGATTGGTGTATGTCCCGGTCGTGGCTCCAATGTCCACTGCTTTGTCTAGACCAAAAAAGGAGACTGCGATCTTGAATGGCCCGTACTGACGATCTTGCAGTAATCCCATCAGCTCTTTGTACTTCGCCGCTAACTCCTCATTAGTCAACAAGACCCAATCAGCCAACGGGGCGCCCCCCTTGAAGATGCGACTGGAGCGAGCCTTCGCCAGGCCCATTCGCACCAAATTAAGCGACCCGATGCCTTTGGCGCTGTTCTTAGCGTTCCATTGACCGGGAAACGCTTTCTTCTTCGCCAAATAGTCTCGCAATGGACTCTCCCTCTCATACACCGATATTATGTACGCTGGCACCATCGCAATGAACTGGGGCCTCCACGTGCTGCCCTTTCGTGTCCCTTTGTTGGACCTCCAGGGCAGGTTTCTGATTGCATTAGTGGCAGAACGTTCCCCAAGCATCTTGTCGTTGGAGGGCTTGTCTTTGACATCCCAGAACATGTCAGGAAGCACATGACTGAAATAGATCCCTGCGAGCAAGGCGATCCTGTGGACCGGCTTTTCTCGGTCGAAGTTCGCGAAGACCCACTCATATATCTCCGTCAGCATAGGGTCTCTGCTGCATTCTATCTGCTCCAGGCTGAATTCGTCAGGGAGACAGTCGCGTGCGAAGAAATCAGGAAGAGATTGAAGCGTGATTGATTCAACAGCCCATGGGGCTCGCGCATCCGAAGCTTGAGCTTTCTTCGCTGCTTCAGCAGCCATATCGACGGGTCGTGAGTTAGTGCGAGCTGCGACAGAATAAGGACTGTCGACGACGATAGATTTTCCTAGATTGACCCATGAGTTGTGCATGGCCTTTCGCGATGGACGACCTCTCCCTGCTGTGTTGGGCGCATGCCATGGGATGTGCTGAATCTGGAGATTGTTGGCAGCGATGATGTAGGAACGCTGTATGCATTTCTCTGCAGCAGCAGGCGAATTGGCAGGCGCATATTTCAGCATGCGAGAGTATGCCATGCGAAAGACAGCTGTAGAGGGAGCCGTCAAAATAAGAGGAGCAGCGATGGACGTTGGTGATTCGACTCGTGTCATCGCACATATGCGAGCAGCAAAGTCTTGAACACTGAGCTTCTCCTTGGAGGTATTTGGAAGACCCTCCGAAAAATCGCTTGGATCGATGACGACGCAGCGCAGAAGATGTTCGTAAGCTCTGTCTTTGTAGCCGAGAGGATGGTCGCAGGCCAACCATTTCTGCAAAGATTTCAGACGATCCTTGTCTCTGCTCGGACCTCGATCATCGTCCACATCCATATCGTCTGGGTCAGCAGAACATTCTTTCTTAATGGCCGTGGCGACCAAAGTCTTCACGTCCGCGATATAGGACCGCAAAGCCACCAAAGCGATGACGATGCAGTGACGTTCCTGGGTGGTGTATTGGAGGAAGACGTGGGGAGAGAGCTTATTGATGGACAATTCGATGTGAAACCCAGCTTTATAGGCCTAAACAATGGGCGCGATGAGCAAGAAGTTCGAACATACGCATCATGACCTGAAGAAACAGACGCACCTCGAAATGATCATTGCCATAAGTCAGGACTTGCGTCCTTTTGGACGCGATGGCAGGAACGTTGAGGTTGTCGGAGGTTGGCCAATCTGCTGCGCTGATGGTGATGGGATTGTTGATAGTGGTGGTGGTACGGACAGAAGGGGCGAAGGTAGGAAGTCCCTGCTCGAGAATGCTCTGGATCAACCATAGAGGCCTCATCAACCTGGCTGCAAGGACCCTTGCATTGCCCGTATGAGCGTAAGCCAAGGCGCGTTCGAGGACGGAGCATAATTCGACTGCTTCATGCCTTGGCTTATTGCCAGCCTCCAAGAGGGGGAGCTGGTATGCCCACAAGCGCTCGAGCAAGGAAGTTAAGCCGAAGGTCGTCCATTGATACACTTGAGGGAAAGCCTTGAATACAGAACCACAAAAGAGATGAAACAATGAAAGACAACATCAACGACTGTTGATGTATGAAGACAAAGACCTACTTGAGAAGCAAACACGCAAATATGGGGGCGGAGGGCTTGAAAAATATTTGGATGGGACCAGGCAGACGCGAGGGGAACAACGATGTCCTTGTATATGGACCTGAAGAAGAGACAAATGAACACAATGTGCAAGCAAAAGACGGGAAGAATTAACTCACATGCCGTTGCGTTTTTCCGGCTTAAGAGAATCGCACTGAATAATGTAAATGTTCTCCAGACGCAAGGCTCGTGGAACATCATCGAGGCTGATCTTATTGTCGTACCTCTGATGAGGAAGACTGGTCTTGCACTCGCGGACTCGAGCATTGTGAGTGATCTTGGTGGCTGGGTTGCCATAAGCACCTGCGAGAGCAGAGGTGATACGGCCTTGTTGAATGTCGTGCAGGGCAGCGGAGGGACGAATACGATGTGATATCTCATTATAGAATTGACAAGCGCTAGGAATGAGGACCGGAGGAATCCCATTTTCACCATCCAGCCTATCTCCAAACAGATCGTATTCGTCTGGGAGGGGATCGTCGTTGTTCAAGTTCACCGTGCGAGGTCTGCGAGATGTCGAACGACGGATGTCTGATATGAATGGGGCGAAGTGAGGAAGGATGGCGTTGCATTGGATATGGCCCATGGTCCGGAGGAAGGCCTGAGGGAAGACAGACACGGATGGAACAGAGGCGTTCTCTCCTGCATATGCGTCCGGGTCGACGACCATGTCATCATGGTCTGGAATGTAGGATGAGAATAACTCGGAGATGGTCTCCAAGTTCACCAAAAGGCCACAAGGTTTTGCATTGCGACGCAGCTTGCCGTGGAGACGAGGAATGCGACGACCATCCTCGTCATAGACATTATTTTCCCGGCGAGTGACGGGATCGCGATGAGGGAAATCGTCCAGGTCGAGCTCCTCACGAACGTGAGGATCAGGGGAATCATACACAACGCCATGCTCCTGGATGATGTCTTCGTTGGGGACTTCGATCCAGCGTTTGACTCGAGTGCATCTGTGTCGTGCGAGCAGTGAGTTCAATGACTCGCGAATGGCCTATGACGATAGCATTGAAACACAGGAAAAGACTTACGCGATGTCTGTGGCTATGGCTACGGACACATATCTTATGCTGGCATAGGATCTCTCTGCGTGCCAATTTCTAGCTTCTATTGCATGGGTGCGCGTGTTGGAATTTGCGATCGGTTGGTTCTGACCGTAGCGACATGCTACAGCCACAGGAGCTCGACTTAGGAGCCAACCGTCCTGCTTCCAAGTCCTAGGGGCAGCTGCGACCCAATCGTCCCATTCAGCTATGATCGTGTTGTGCAGTTCGAGTACATCGTTCAGACGCAAGTCCCAAGTCGTCTGCGAGCTGCATTATCCATTTTGGATGTCGTAGAGAAACCATCAGTTTAGTGTTCGTATACATATATAAATGACATTATCGAAAGAAAAGCCCGCGCTTGCCACCGTTGTGTGCGCGGGTGAACACATACGAACGAGCATGATCAATGTGCACAGGCATCGAGCACATGTATTAAATGGATACATGTATCCAACACTGCAGGGGTCCTACTACATGATACCTTCAAAGGATAACGATGTTGCACGCAGCGAAACAAGGTCAGGTCATCATTGAGACGCCCTGGCAACCGTTGCGAGCGCTGCTCTGACAGGCATAGACCATCGTTAATGCGTGGTCCGTCAGACCAGTGATGTGTGTATAACAATACTAGTGTGTAGAAGGATATAGGAGCAGATACTGAGAGACTCACTAAATATTTGAGATGTCCTTGATCCTCCATGCGCTCAGGTCATCGTCCGTGCCATACGGATGCATAACGTAAATGGAGAGGGAGGGATTTTTGGACAGGGCGTGAGCCAGGAACATGACGGCCATGCGAAAGTGAGACGACGACAGTCTCGTGTCGCCGTGCACTCTTTCACTGAGTAGTGGGACGTCGTTTGCGATGTCCAAGTCCTCCAGGTTCTCGCGAGGAGCGAATGCCAGCCATAATTCAGACGATGGCCCCGTCCCGATGGCCATCATGCAACCGGTAGGGTCAAAACCCAGCTTACCGAATTTCGGTCGAAACAGACGGGTGGGAAGACAGAGGTTGAGGGCCATGGAAAATGTGTGATCGACGACCTTGTTAGGGAGCAAGGCGTGCAAACCCACGGAGCCTCCGACGACAAGGAAAAAATCGAGGAAATGCTTTGTGCCGTCCCAGGCGAGCATGTCGTCGTCGCTTTGGTAATATAGGTCATCGTCGAGGCGAAGAACCGAACGACGATGCAACAAGTTGATCGCGGTCGCTGTGTCTTGCTTTTTGAACGTCCGTGAAAGGGTGGATAAGCTCACAGACTGAACTCTGGTCTGCTCCCAAGTACGCCCCGCCGGTGCAGGTCCATGCTGGTGCAAGAAAAGACTCTCAAATATCTCGCTTTGAGGCAAGCCATCCTCTGCCTCCACGGATGAAGGGACATCTGCAAGATCGAACGGCCGAGGTTCGTCCTGGTCGCCTGGACGCGCAGCACCTGGAAAGGTGATGGTGCCCAGATCATCATCGCTGTCGAAACTCGGAGAGACGATAATCAGGCTGAAGTCAAGCTGGGGAGGAGTGGAATGGACACTCACGCATTGTCTTCTAGGTCTGACATGGCGCGGACGAACTCACGAACGAGATGGAGAGCGAATGAGGAGTTTGATGCGAGTATCTGGTGGAAAAGGGCGAGAGGTCAATGCCAAGGGCGTGAAAGATGACAGAAATCATACGGAGAGCCGAAGAGGCGGGCTGGAGGGTCGACAGTTTAAACATGTCCGGTCGATTATTGAGTCCATGCGATGCAAGGAGGCTTTTAGCGGGCCAAATAAAATTTTCAAGGATACATTGAAGCGTGACGTTAACGCAAACAAGCATCAAATTTCCAGGAGCAAGGGAACGATCGCAGAAACTGAAAACACGAAGCACGATGAAATCAACATGAAAAGAACAGGAGAGAAAGAGGAACGAACGAAAGAAAGAATAAGTGTCCAGGCCGTTGCTATTGCTATGCTATGGAGAGCATCTGCAGAAACTCTGGAGGACAAGAGGGTTCTGAACAGGCAGATGGGATCCGTCTAGGGATGCGAGTAAGGCAAGGGTCTAAAAAGACACCTGAATTAGTATGAGCGGAACCGGCAAATATGGAAAGCGACAACGACCGAAAGTGCAGGGTCCGATATTAGTGCCAAGGACCATTTCAGTTTTGGATCTAGCAGCAAAAGGTTAGTGGGACAGGGACCCAGAAGGACCGAAACCGGCGAGTGAGACAAATATGAACTAGCACGCAGATTAGAAAGAAGATTGGACTTGATGGGATCCAGGAGCGAAAGGAACACGAATTGTTGGAGTGGGAAGAGGTGGCGAGCGAAATGTACATCTTGAGGAATATGCAAGGAGTCAGCAGCAGCGACCGACAGTTTATGGTGAGGCGAGAGAGAGAGCCAAAGAGGGAGACTCAGACGAGTGGTCGACTGACAGCAGAGGGCAGGCATGCAATTGTGATTACAATCATGGCAGGATTCAGCAGAATGAAAGAAGAATGATGACTGTCGACGACCTGCAAAGCAAGCTGGTGAGGGAGAGGACAAACTAAAAAAGAAAACACAAGAAGAAGTGAGCACAAAGGGGATCGAAGGACAAGGGCGAGTTTCGAAGATCGAAGATTTGAGAATTCAGGTTGATTCGAAATTGGACAAAAGGAGAAGGACGCACCATACGTCATATACAGACCGGAGGACGTTAAACTGAATGAACCGGGCACGTTGAATGAAGAGACGAGACATTTTTGAAAGACAAAGATCATGGAGAGGTGAGAGGCGAGATGCGAGAGAAATTCGGGAGCATAGAACGGTTCTGTGATACAGATGAAGACAGGCGGCTGAGCTGAAGCACAAGACAGCATGTGTTCAAAGTTTGACTTAGATAAGCTGCGGGTATTGAGCGTCCGGAATGAAAATATAGAAAGGAGAATCGCAAGAGATGGATATCAGATAGCAAACGAAAGATTCGGATAAGAATGCAAAGAAAGGTAGAGCAGAGAACGAAGTCCAATGAGAAAGCCGGAGGACGGGAAAGGATCTAATGAGGCGAGGCTGGAAAGATGTTTTGGAAAGATTGAAAGATCGCTAAGTAGCAAACGAACGCTAGGGAAACATGCACCATCAGGAAGAGCACATAAGTCGAACAAATGAGGTATTCAGATCATTCAGCACGTTTCCATCGTAAATAGCATACCGAAATCCATCCGCGTTACGACAAGACTTGAATTGTGGTTTTCACGCGCAAGGGAGGAGAACGAACGTTGCAAAACTAAGATCTTTCGATGTCAAACCATAGCAAGGGATACACGCACATTAAGTCGACATTCACGTTAATATTTACATTTTACATGCATTGGCAGATGAGGGACGACAAGAAGCGACAAATGAAAGTCACGAGTGAGGTATATTGCAAAGAACGGACAGCAGCAACTACGACAAAAATTGAACAAGGAGGGAATGCAACAAGCAAAAACGACGCGAGCAAGACACATATCGAGATACAACTTCAGCGTTTCACAACAAAAGAGAGGCATGGACTTGTGAAAGGAGAGACGTTAGATGGGGATGAGGACATCGTCCGCTTCGTCATCATCAGAGGGCAAGACGACTTTCGCCTTCTTCTGTTGCTTCTTGCCTTCTCCATGGGTGGAAGATGAAGACGACGCGCCTATGGATCATAGGGAAGCAAATGAATATGAATCGTTATGAAGAATAAAATACACGTCAACGCACCTGTAGCTGCACGAGCCCGTTTGGTAGAAGAGGCAGGGAGAACACGTCGTTCTGAAGGGGTTAGGTTAAAGATAGATATCATAAAGGAGGACTCACCGTGCTGACGAGCAGGCAACGGCCGAGTTAGAGGCTGAGTGGGTGTATACGCTGAAGGAAGATACCCATGAACATCCGCCCAGGGAACGGTGGCATAGGCGGACTCACTGGCATCATGAGGGTCATCTATACCAGACATGCGATCCTCGCTCGAAGCATCCTCGTCACATCCATCATCGTAATGTTCTTCCTCTTCAGGCCCATGTTCACGTTCGCCATCGTCAAAGTCAGCGTTGAACCAATTGATGTCGTTTGTGGCGAATCCATCTCCATCTAAGATATCGTCTTCAGGAGTGAGCGGTGGCAGCGTTCCGCTAAATGTATCAGCTTAAAAGAATTGATGATACGTTAATAGTAGAGAAAATATCAGAATAAAAGAGCTTACAATGCGATGGGAGAGACTCCTGAGAAACCGATGTAAGACGGGATGGTGCCGATGAGGAGACTGGAAATCAAAGGACATGAAACAGGTGATCGAAGGATCGAAAATGAAACACGTACCAGCTGCATCGTCCGCGTTCGCCACTGTTCCGTAGGCGGATCCATCTTGGAGGAGATGCTGCTGAGACGGGTTGTTGACATCAGTCTCAGAGTTGTCCAGAGGGCGATCAGCAGGACGCGGGGTGGCTGAATGTCACGTACGAATTAAATGATGTTAACGAATGCGAGTGAGATGAGACGCACCTCCATTGTCCTCAATGATGTAATCTTCGACTGTGGCCTGCTTCCATGACCTGCGAGCAACGTGGCCCGGCTGTGAGGTGGATGTGTCGTCCTGTGGTTCCGGTGTCTCGCGTTGACCGTGCTTGTTAGAGCTATCGTCATCGACTTCGAAAGACAAATGTAAGAACGCTGAGATGCTAATACAAACAACAGAAGCACAATTCACCTGTCATAGCATCTGGATCATTTGATACCACCTTTGCTTGCGTGTGTGTGGTAGGCTGATCTATACACACATTATAATTGTAAGGCATCATTGTGAGCATCCATATATCTAGACACTCACCTGACATATCACCCGCGTGGGCAACCGTGGCAACGGCGGGTGTGGATGAACGCGTCTGGTCATTGGCAGATGCCTCAGACTCAACGTTGGGATCCTTGTCGTGTTGACCGGAGGATGGATGTACGGTTACCTCAGACGTGGAAGGTGCATTGTGCGTTTTGCGAGGCACAGGACGAGGTTTAGGTACAGGACGCGGCTGACCGTCGACAGTAGTGGGAACGTTAGACACAGGAGGCTTGGAACCGGAAGCAGGTGTTTGTCGAATGGTAGGAGAGACGTCAGCTTCGTCAGAGACTTGGATCTCTTTTGCCTTCCCTTTGTTCCGTGGGTTCTTGAATTCCATTTCCGCGTGGTCTTCTGGATCCTCGTAATCATCGTCGTATCCCTATTACGAATGTGAGTATAGGACATTAACGGGAGATATGAGAGACGTCTTGAGCTCACCGTTGTGAATTTGTCAGCTTCACATTGTGGGAAAATGATGTCCAGTGCTTCGACATCAGTGCTGACATTGAACTTCTTATTTGGATTGTCCCACATTTCTCGAACTCGAGCTCTAGATGTGTTCAAGAACACCCCCTGCAAAAAGGAAGATTGATGTTAGCCCAAAATGGTCTCGAAGGTACGTATATGATATCAAATAACGACTGGTTCTTACCCGGAGCAAATATTCCAGGCCTATCGAAACATCTGCTGATATCAGAGCATCCGAAGAGGACGAGGACTTAGCACACGGTAGATTTGCGACATAGTTGATAAGTTTCTGGATCGCGTCCGTATGAGCTTGTTTGAGCGTGAGTCGTTCTTCAAGTTTGTGTTGCTCTTGCACAGACTCATCTTCGAGTGTATCAATGATAGCTTGAGGATCTGCCTGCTTGTCGCTGATGGTGAGCTCGTCCCACCAAGTCCATTCTGCAGTCGTCTCTAACCCGGATCGTCTAATTGTCTGCAGGGGTTGAACATACTGCGCGAGGGCCATCTCAATGAGTCTTCGGAGCGCACCGACCCACGGCTCCGACAATAGCTTTGGACGATAGCTCTGCATGTGCGTCCGCTCCAGAATGATGGCCTGCAGGGTGGGAAGCAGGTCTCGCGTATTGTTTTTGATGGACGGAGATGCCCAGTCCCAAGCTGTGACGTGCAGGCCCATAATGCCGGCAATGGTACGTGCCTCCCCTGCAATGTTCTTCGGATTGATGACGTTCCTTTGCTTTCTCTTCATCACTATGTTATGCAAAGCTTGGTACAAGACCTGCTCGTTTTCTCCCATTTTCGCGACGGCGTCATCAAATGTGCCTTTGTCCTTTGGTCGTGGTGGGAGCTGAGGTGCGATGTTGAGCATCACATTGTTCAGCCTCATGACAAACGATTTTCTGTAAGTCCATATGATTTCTGCGACCTACCATTGAACACAATGTTAGGACTTTCGTTTTTCGACGTCACGCTCGCGAATCGGGACTCACGGCCATATCTGCATCGGGTTCTACGATTCGTTGGTCCTTCACGATGTTCGACATCATGACCGTAGACCAGTCGTCCATCGTGTGCTGTCTCCCACCGATGCGACGGAAATGATCGAGCAGAGGCTCGAACCAATGACATATCTATTGTAGGGAATTTGTAAGTCTCCCAATCTTCCGATGTTCAATCGTTTTCTGTACCTCCACAATGCCAACCTGTGTCCTGACGAGATATTCCCAGATATAATTCATCATCCATGCTCCCAGGATCGGCTCTGGCGCATGTTTAGCTCCCAGCTCCGGAGTCAGGTGCAGGGTCACACGCGCGACGATCCTATCAAGACTTTTCAAGATGTCGTTACTTTTTATCTCGTCTTCGCTCTTCTTCGACAAGGACCACATGTCTCTCAAGGTGCGTATCACGCTCCCTCGATATATACTTAACGCGGTCACATATGCAGGCGTCATTTCCTCGATGATGTCTTCGTACCCCGTAAAGACTGCCTCCGCGTGTTCGTTCAAACTCCCGATAACCTCCATCCACGTCGACAGGTCGCCCTTCTCGTTCTCTTTGCAGGTCCTCATCGATTCGCGCAACGTCGCGAGTTGTTTGGTGGCTTCCTTGTTACCTTTTTCGGAGTCCCGCAGCAACCGAATGATGATGTTGTACGATGGGAACTCTTTGCGAGAAGAGAGCAATTGCAGGAGTCCGCATCGAATTTTGATTAACGTAATGTAGAGCTTGGTCAAGGTGAGCATTGACTTCGCATTTCGTATTGTATGACTCACTCCCATGCAGATCCCAATCGATGTGAACAGCCATGTCACCGTGAACTCTCGCCTTCGACGAAAATGCGGGCCTAGCTTGAGCAGCTGGGTTGCGAGCACCACGCATAACATTTCGTGGTGCAACACCTTCTGAATACGTGCGTTTTTCTTCCCGGTGGTCCGTACCTCGACGAGGGCCGTGGTTGCTGCATCACGTTTCGACTCTTCTGGTGCCGCGTCGTAGGCTACTAACATCCTCTTGAACGCAGTTATTATGACCTCTTCGTCGGTCTCCCCGTACTCGGGCAACGCATTGTTGCGACTCAGATGAGTAGCCAGGTCATCGTTACCCTTCGCTAACAGCTTCCCTACAGAATCAACAAGGTCAGAGGTCCGCGTTGGGAACAGTGGCCTGGGCGGACATTCTGTGATGTCGCGTCTGCTTATACACGCGCCGGCCACTGTGGCATGCGCGGAACACACCACTCACTTTGATTATATACGACCACCCCCCATTTTCCAACACTCTCCGTGATCCCCATGATGACGCGCATATCGAACTGGACCTTGTTGTACGTGTCCATTTGGTCCGCGCTTATTTTGTCCATGGCCCTAAATTTATCCCGTTTCTTCGCCAGTACGTTGAACTCATCGTCTAGCTGTTGTTTGAATTTCACTAAGGCAGCAAGTCGGTGCTGTCCCGATGCGACCACGATAGGGTCTTTGTCGACGAGTTCGAGTTCAGGTACGTCCCCCGGATCAAGGAAATCCTTCGACAACGAGTCTGCATTTTTGATGCGTGCGATATCGATGATGATCGGAATCGCTGTCTGGTCCTTCATGGACATGATCCCATCGCGAAAAGACGTCACTAATTTGTTAGTTTCTGTTTCGTTCTCGGCCCTATCATTATAGGTCCCAAACTTCAATCTCTTGCTGAGTGCGAGTATATTGATCCATGCAACTCCCGCTTTGCATTTGCCGACCTGGGTATCCAACTTCTGCGTCATCTTGCCAACATCATTGTCAAGTACCAGCGGTTCTAAGGGTCTGGTGTCGAGGTGGAGATTCGTCATTTCTCCGTCCTGATAGACGTTTGTGTTAAATTTAGGTGAGTTCTGCTTCTCTTCTTGCGCATTTTTGACTTACCTCTGCATTGGCAGTCTTGCTGCCTCCTCCTTTCGTTTTTTTGGGCATTTGTACAGATAAAATTCTTGAATGTGCGTATCGTAGGTGGTGGTAGGTCTCTGAGATGGATTCCAATCGTTATCCGGCTCCCTTCGCCCTACGCCCTTATATTCCTACTCCCTCCGACCTTCGCCTTCGCCTCGTGTCACAATTGTTCATGTCCGCGATGATCAGATTCCGATGTCACGTGATATTGTTTTTTATTCATTTTATCATGTAATATATACATATTCTAATCTATTCTTTGATATTTCCGCCCTCGCCACGGTTGTGGGGGCGGACATATGTGATTGTCATATTGAATATATAAAAATCTTAATATATATGTTGTGTCTTATATGATGTCCGCCCATGCCACCGTGGCATATGCGGATGTGGGTATATAACAAGGTGTAAAGTGTATAGTAAGTACATACTGATATATGTCGCTATACATCTATTCATACCCACATATACAAATGTTACATATGTGGGTATGAATAGATGTATAGCGACATATATCAGTATGTACTTACTATACACTTTACACCTTGTTATATACCCACATCCGCATATGCCACGGTGGCATGGGCGGACATCATATAAGACATAACATATATATTAAGATTTTTATATATTTACTGAGTCTATCGTGAATAAAGGGTTACAATACCATATCTTGAGTGCATTTTTGTGCATTGTATAATCATCATTTTTAATACATTATTTGTACAATCACCCTCAACTTTAGTTTCAGAGGCCTTAGGGTCAACAAAACCATACATTTAACCGAACCTATTTACAAATATCCTTTATAATAGTAGAAGTACTCTTGATACTCCAGTTGCCACCGTAGTGCTTCAGAACGACATCGACGAGCTCATCGCCTAATATATGATTCAGTACCAAGCCACTGTATGCCACGACTTCATACCAAGTGCTTTGTTTTAGATTTAGCGTAAGGATGACTGGAATAAATGGTAGAACAAACCGGGAATAGGAATAGAGGCGAGGTGAAAGGGGAAGCCAGTCTAAAGTTGAAGCGTTGTCATAGTTGGTTGGTAGAATCCAGTGTGCGTGGTGTAAACGATATTTATATTTACAAGCAGCTGAAGTCGACGTCAAGTGCATGACGGAAATGACCTTGATATACGATTCAGATTTCAATTGAGCTGACATGGTGGAGGATGACTGAGTGTGTCGTGGAGAAGACAGGCGACGTGTTGCCATAGGCTACAGCTGGTCGAATGGAAAATGAGATAGCTGAGCCGCTGGACCTGAAGGCTAAGCGTCACAAAAATGTAGTAAGTAAAGTACGCCGTGCAGCCAGCAGCAGCACAAGGTAGCTGCATAATCAAAGCCACCAGGGTATATAGGAAAGCAAGAGATGAAAACGGTATATCAGAGCACGTGTATCAGCAAAGAAATTCTGAAAGAAATACGGTAGTCCATCCGTCGTCACTCGCTCGCTCATATTCTCGGTGCAAGGCGACTTCACCACCAGTGAATCGTACCTGCCGCCATAAGAAAGTGCATATATTGTGCCTGTCCCGTTCGCAACGCCAGAGGTGTATATCAGGATGTGGTGTTTGTCACGACTGACTCGACTCGGGCCAAGTGTCAATTAGGTAAGCATTCAATCAACGATCAGAAGCTGCCATTGAATGGTTCTTTCAACTTCTGAGATACACAGGAGTAGTACCATTAACTTCGACCAAGGAATCACCATCCAAGTCTAGATCTCAACGACGGTCCATTCTTGTTTGTCTTGCACCCAAACAAAAGAGGTCGCAAGTGGTACAAATGTTGTGCAAGTAAGTGGTGTTGAAAGACAGGCTAGTAGAGCTCGAGTTTAGCACTACATGCATTGTTCGCCTGGTGAGTAGTACTGTCAGGCCCCGGGAATTCGATTCAAGGATTTATGTAATTAACACTACTATGTCCTTCCGGTTAGTTTGAGTACTAGCGTCTCAAATTTTTGATTGGGTAACCATTATGTCTAACCAACTTCTATTTGACAGCCATGGGACCGAACAAAAAAATGCATTTATGTTGACAAGCTTCGAGTTTCGGCGTGCTTTCGTCCCCTTAGTCTTTACTACATTATTGAAATTGAGATGTCATCGAGACCTGACAGCTTGGCAGAGGTCTCTTTGGCTACTCCTGACACTCTTTTGAACAGTAATACTAATCACCCTCCTGGGATTTCAACTTCCGAGACAGCAACTCCCTGCGAGTCCTTCATCTACACTTCATACAATTCTTCTCCACTATTACCATCTCAACACTCAGGTCCTTATGGAGAGGAAATCAAATCCTCGCCCCGTTCGAAGAAGGGTGCTGCATACGCACGCCCCGTTCTATTGTTTCTCTCCACTGTTCTAGTAGCAGTTGCGGTGGTGGTACCAGTCTACTTTGTTGTAATCAAACACCAGCATCATGAGTCGGACATAACCAAAGGAACAAGTTCTTCAAACCCTTCGTCCGTTGGTTCTCACGCCGGCCCAACTTACGGGGCAAATGGTTCTACGGTCACAACCTCTGACGGATCGACTTTCACGTACATTAATCCTTTCGGAGGATATTGTAAGTAGATTTGTGCTTGCATGACCGGAATTCCCGAAACATTTCATATGATATCGCTTGCTTTACTCTCCCGTTCAAGTTGCTGATACAATGCTCACAGGGATAGATGATCCAAATGATCCGTTTAACGACGGTGCACGTCCTAACTCATGGACGCCACCGCTGAATGAAAGTTGGGTCTGGGGCACAAATAAAGTTTACGGGTAAGCCTAATCGGCACGGTGTAACCTTCTATGAGAGTCTTACATTTGCGAGTTCCTAGCGTAAACATCGGCGGCCTCTTCGTTCTTGAGCCGTTCATTTCGCCCGCTTTATTCGAGAAATATCCAGAAGCCATCGATGAATGGTCACTAAGCACACTCATGGCCTCAGACACCTCCAATGGCGGATTAAGCCAGATTGAGGATCATTACAACACGTTCATCGTAAGCTCATCACCATGTCGTATGAGACGTTAATCAAATCGATCATCGCAGACCGAACAGGACATCGCAGAAATTGCCGGCGCTGGCCTGAATTGGATACGTTTACCTATACCCTTTTGGGCCATCGAAAAGTGGGATTTTGAGCCTTTCCTCGAGCAGGTTTGCTGGCCGTAAGTGATGGTGTGAGCATCCCAATTCACGCACTAACGTGTGGTGCTGTAATTTTGTTCAGGTATATCTTACGAGTCCTTCAATGGGCACGGAAGTATGGCCTTCGAGTCAATCTTGATCTTCACACAATTCCTGGCTCTCAGAATGGTATGTTGTGTCTCCGAAATCGCTGTTGGGTAATCTAACCAACTGCTCAGGTTTCAACCACTCCGGCAAGTTCGGGAAGATTAACTTTCTCAACGGAGTTATGGGTGTTGCAAACGCTCAGCGCGCTCTTGGTTACATAAGGATTATTGCTGAATTCATTTCACAACCTGAGTGGAGGAACGTTGTACCGGTTTTTGGCATCATGAATGAAGCTAGGGTTGCTGTCATCGGCATGGATCAGATGACATCTTTGTAAGTTCTTGCCACGTTATCTTCTGTTTGTAGTCCTCAAATGATATGTCTATCAGCTACATGCAAGCCCACGATATGATTCGCAACATCACGGGTTATGGGGAAGGAAATGGGCCGTATATCGCAATCCATGATGGCTTCCAAGGTCTCTCGACTTGGGCAGGGTTCTTGGAGGGATCGGATCGGATTATCTTGGACACTCACCCTTATTTCGCTTTCAGCGGTAATTCCAACCCCGCGCCGATAGCGACAGGAACTGGTGTGGATGCTGGTGGAATTTGGCCAGCCCTAGCTTGCTCGAGGTGGGGGACTGAGATGAATGCTAGGTAATCGCTGAGATTGTGACTTATTATCAAGCTAATACGTGTCTGGCAGTCAAACAGGGTTTGGTGTTACCTTCGCCGGCGAATTCAGTAATGGCTTCAATGATTGCGGACTGTACCTCAATGGGGTTGGGAACGCACAAGATGTGGCGCCGTCATGCTCTCTCTATTTAGACTCATCACAATGGAATGATACCATGAAGGCTGGGCTCCAGCAATTGGCATTAGCGAGCATGGACGCCCTTCAGGACTGGTTTTTCTGGACCTGGAAGGTAAGCTTCGCAAATTTCGACCTTTTCATTGAACAGAAGAATTGAGCGTGTTTCGAAATTATTATCTAGATTGGGCCGTCATCTAATAATACGATTGCGGCTCCACTCTGGTCGTACCAGCTAGGATTGCAACAAGGGTGGATGCCCATTGACCCTCGCATGGCTACTGGGACTTGCGCTGCACTAGACGTCACCGCTCAACAGTTCGACGGCGTTTATAAGCCCTACCAGACCGGTGGGCCTGGTGCTGGGACAATCAATCCCGTTTTAGTATCTTCGTATGGCCAGTATCCACCTACATCCATCAGTGGGCTTACCGCGGGAGCTACACAATCTTTTCTTCCTACTTACACGTCGACAAGTGCCATCCCGACGCTGCCGCCACCTACCTTTACTCCAAGTCCTCCGAGTTCGGTCGTCATCGGGAATGGATGGTTTGATTCATCTGATACTAGTCTGGCTGCCACAGAAGTCGCTGGATGTACATACCCTGATGCATGGGATGCCATCAGTGTTGCAATGCCCACTGCCCTTTGTCCTCCCACCGCGAGTGCTGGTGCCAGCGTAGTTGTCACCTCTGTCCCTGCACTCGCGACTTCATCTTGATTACCGACTCCAGGACCTTAGGTATCCTTACTGGGGCAACAAATACTGTAGATATTAGCAAAGGACTCCTGAAATTCCCTAGTGAGATGAGTACATTACCTTTAATACATCTAATGTGAGATTCGAAGGCCAACACCCGGCGATTTCATATTTGATTGAATCGTTCTCGCGTAGTGTTGACTCGACTACTCGTTTCAACTTTTCATATCGTCATCTGCCTGGTCTTCTTAAGTAATCTCACGACGCTCTTCTCAAGGAATTGAAAGAATCACCAATACCCATCGGCCGTAGAAACATGAAAGCATGAAGTCACATTCTGCAAATCAGTTATAGCATAAACGCAGGACATCCTCTGCTAAGGTTGCTCGCCAGCTCTGCGAAGATCCACTTTACTGAGTCGTATCTGTGGATTTTGGGGTCTTGAAGCAATCATAGTAAAGTTACATGCGATAGTTCAAGCTTCAAATGTTCAAGTCTGAACCTACGGCGATTGTTCTGCATAATCCATCTCGTCAGAGTGCCCGTACATGAAAAAAAATACGATTAACGTGCAAAAAGGTAAAAGGTATACGGTGCCAATAGCTCCCTTTCCGACTACAGGTTTGTTTTCCTCTTGTGGGCGGGGTCAGCTCCGGGGATTTCAACGTCAATCAGTTCTCTTGTCCACACCCATGTCGCGGCTGGGAGGACGAGCGGTTTCCTCCCGTCGAAGCAGCACTCCGATGCCCCTCGCAACAAGACAAGTTTTCCATCCATCTACTCGCAGAATCCCATATGTCATGGAAGTGAGAGATATAGCTCGCTCGTGATCTGAAATACAGCATTATTAGGAGTATTGGAATAGGCTGCACATGTCAGATACCGTGCCGTTCCACTATTTTTTCTTCCCTCCTTTGCCTTTCCCACCAGTCTTTCCTCCGTGCGAGGCGGCGGCAGAAACAGTGCCACTTTCAGCGCCAACAGCCGCACCCTGGGTTGCACCACCTCCTGCACCCCTCCGTTTTTTCCCTTGAGTATAGCTAGTTCGCTCAGACTTCTTCAACCATCTTTCTGGATCCGGTGGGGGCGACACGCCTGGTATGATCCCCTTCGGCACACGTTTTGTCCTCAATTTCTTTTGGAATTCCACAGCCTCCGGCTTTTTCGTGAGTTCTTCCACAGGAGCGAGAATCGAAGCTGGTTGGGAGAGAACAGGTGGTGGCGCAGATTCTAACGTTGAGGCGATAGAGCTGGGGAGTTGAGACATAGCTTGCATAAATGTAGTTGTGATGAAATCCTGATGCGATTGGGAGGCTGGTAGATTGGTGAGAATGTCTGCATGTTCATCTGAAGACTAAAGGCGGTACATATACGTGAATGAGTTGTCAACTACCTGCAAAGCGCGCAACGTACAGGATCAGCTGTTTCAAGGAGTTCGTTGTAGATGTCCAGGGATGACTGGTACGATCCTTGGCGATAGCTCTGGCAGATGAATTACTTACACCCTGATATTGAAAAGACACGACCAGATGCTTACTAACTGAGCCTCCAAGTGCATCGCACCTCTCTGCTCTGCCTCTTTCCCAATGCTCTTTATTTCCTTTAGCAACTGGACAGAATCTTCTTCTCGCTGGAGACGATATAATGCGTATGACCGCTCAAATAAACACTGTTCATTTATTTCAGCGATAAGTGTAAGGGCGGTGTCATACTGCTCGGTTTGAAGTAGCAGGAAGAGCTTCGTCCGTAGTGCATCGCGATCGCCTGGATCTAGACGCAAGACTGTATACTTCGTCAATATCGGATCATAAAATTTTTGAAACTGCATCACTGACTCTTATTGCATGTACGAATCGCATTTGTGAAGTGCCCACCATCAACTTGAGCGCAGAGGGAAGTAAACAGACGTTTTAGTCTGTCCGCTAGTGGAGCAGGTTGCTGCTTTTGTGGACGACGCTGTCTTGAGGGAGTCTTGGAAGACGTCTGGCTTGCCTTGGTTGGGACAGGTTTAGGCGGCATCTTTGGTCACGTCGGAGTCGTTGGCAGCGATGAACGTAGTCGTGACTCGTGAGCCACGTGTCACACTTCCTTTCTTGAATTAAATGTGACATAATCAACCCGATTCCTGTCACTGAATGAGAGTATTGTTCACCCGCTACCATCAGACAATGTCGACAAAATTGTGAGTCTTGTGCTATATCTCAAACATTTAGCCTTCAATAATGACATATAGGAAACCAGCAACCGACGCGAAACTTGATACTGACACCCGAGACAAGATGGACGCAGAGCAAGAACCAGACTCTCAGCCTGCAAGAAAGCGGCCTCGCATTGACCTTGGTGTCGGCGAGCGCAAGCGAGGCAAGAGCATGTTTGGTATTGTTCTTGGAACGCTGAACAAGGCGAAGATTGAGGACAAGGAAAGGAATGCTAGTGAAGCAGTAAGCATAACCTGTACGCGCGTTTTACTCATTGGAATGACATATGTTTCTTTTCAGGCTAAAAAGCGTCAGATGATAGACCAGCGGTTGCAAGCTAAGCTTCGAAAGGAGACTGACTCAGTTCGACGCTCTGAAGAAGCCAAGAAGGACAGGAACCTCGCCAATCGAAAGGAAGAAGAACTTCAACTCAAAGATTCAATCGTGCGTTTCACGTTCATATCCTTCATCTTTCGAGAGCCAACGACCTTATCTTGCAGTATAAGCTACGAAGAACGCATTTACCACTCTATTCTCACTTCCTATGTACATCTGACGACACCCAGTCCATTGATTCTATGGAAGACCAGCCGTCATCAATAACTCTTCTAGCTTTGCCCACACGATCGCACCCTCCGCCTCTCTTTTATTTGCCTGCGATACTCACAGCAGCCCAGGAAGCATTTTTAGAAAAACGTAAATCCAAGGTGAGCTTAGTATCTGTAAATGCACTGCGGTAGATGGCGTGATATCTACTTTCGCCATTGCATACGTGAATCCGGTACTAATATCTACTACCTAGGTCAAGGAAACAGCCGAATCCGAATGGTCCACCTTCCGCGGGGAGCGCACTGCCGGTATCGACGAAATCAAGGAGCTCCGACTACGTGTTGCCGATGAGGACGCAAGAAAGAAGAAGGAAAAGAAAGATGAAATCGATGCAGACGAAAAAAATCAAATCAACAAGGACGAGGAAATGACCTCTGAGGAGCCCAAGACTTTTGAATCGAAGGCGGAGGAGCGTGACTCAAAGACGGAAGAAAAACCCGAGGAACGCGAATCAAAGACGGAAGAAATGGAGGTAGATGTTGGTACTAAGGAGGAATCAGGCATGCGCGCAGACGATGAAGATGCGGTTGAATACTGATTTAGGTAAGTAAGTCGAAAGTATAAAATTTGTTGGGCATTGATGATGGACCCTAGATTGAATAGTACAACTGTGGGTAATCATTTGAAGGTGGTACAGTATATTTTTTCTGTTCTAGGACACTCTTGTGCGCTCAACTTGTTGTTCTAGTTGTCACCTGTAGTTCGGTCAATATAGTCAGGTGTCAGAATTGCTCATGATAACCGATGAGCCAATGGCTAGGGATGCATTTTCCCAATGCTAGGAGATGGTGTTATAGTGTCTATATCCATCAAGTTCAAAGTTGTTGATATCTGTCTCGGGCCAAGAAGAATAAACCACGATGAGATAATGTTGGCCTTGGCTTGGTAGGGTGATAATCATGCAGCATGGTTCCCGTCACGGCTACTGTGTCGGTTCCAGTATGATCATTGATTTTGGCCGTCCCGGACCCTGAACCCCAAGTACGTAGCCACCTATCTGTTGTGGCGGTCACTATACTCACCCCCAAAACAGCATGACAGATATATTAGGATTGCACAGCGACCTGCCACCGGTGGCCGGATATTATTAACGCCTGCAGCAAGTGAAATCACACATGATAGGTGTTGTTGTAGGCGGTGACAAGGTGCATTATACCGATTGGCAGGCCACAACATTCTTCCTCTGAACTTGAGACGCTCCTCCAACAATCTCCAGCGTTAATTAAGAGCTGTATTTATCCTGACGTATTTAAGTAAGGATGCTTCACTAAGTATTGTGATCCATCTGGCCCCGCGCGTTAAAGTAATAAGAAAAACACCGTCATCTTGTTTAGAAACCAACTAAAAGGTAAGTCCATGTGAAGTTAATAATTCTTTCTGTCTTGCTCATTTCGCAGCCAAGATTGGTAGCTTCCTCTACACGCCAGACCGTTTGGTTGTTTGGCCGCTCCGTGCTGCACTGCTACCTGGTATGTTGCCTTGTGCGAGGTCATGACCGTCACCTTACCTGCGTACCTGTTGGCGCATCAGCTCCAGAACCGTTGGTCTGTGGACCAATCTGGGACCATGCCAACTTTCACCATTCCCGCGCATTACGTGCCACATACCAGCCCTCAGATCCCCTGGGTCGATAATCGCAGTTTTAAATTATCTTCGTGGCCGTTTCACAGGATTCTTCAGCCAATCTGGAGTTTCCGATGGTTTCGCCACGAATGACTTTTGGCCTGGCCTGCCGTTAAGCGATACAGCTTGTTTCACTTACGATGGCAACCAGCCATGACACACCATGCCGGTGGTCTTGAAGACCCTGAACGGCAAATTCCTTTGCTGTTCGCCGATGGAAATGCCGTCGCCGTCGCCGGAGAACCTTCCACAGAAATCTCTTGAGAAGTTCACAGCAAATTAGAGCAGGTACCTGCAATATATCCTGTGAGCGACCAGCCATCATCTTCGGACCCAATCATGTGCAATTGGAGGTCGGTTGAGGATGATGCCAGGTCAGTCGTAGCGGTGATTATTCCCCACATTTGACGTTCACGAAGAGTCCAGAACATCGAAACATCCATTATGATCCCGGAAACGACACATTATTCTAATCTCAGACGAGATTCGTTGACATATTAGAGATAAAAAATGGGTATAATTACTCGCGTTACATTGAACGAAGTGGCGCGAAATGTGAATCTGACGTTATGACGCAGTAGAAAAGAGCGAATGGTAGATCATAGCGATGATAACAAGTGTCACAACTGACGAGCCTGTATGTGATTTGCGCCCTGCGCTCTGTGCTCTGCACGAAGGGGAAAATTGAAGAAAATGCGTAATCCCGTGACGAATATGAAAACATCAGTTCCTCTTGATCCCGAGATGGGTCTCTCGGACGTGACGCAACGCAGTGTCGCGCCGCATGTTCTGAATGGCTGCATTGCTGCGTTTCCGGTATTCGCAACCTCGCCAACGACATACATTTGGCGCATTTTGAGCCCCTGAAAGATGACTGCTCCTGAAATGCGTCTGGAATGCACCCAACGGCCCTTCAAATCCACAAGTCTTGTTTTCTCCGACAAGCCAGCCACAAGAGAATATATTGGACGGCGAATGGTGAGTTCCGTGGGTATGAGATCTACTACGACGCCGAGAGTTCTGGCGAGAACGTGAATTACGGTGAGGCAGATCTTCATGTGGTTGGATGGATGGTTGACGATATGAAGGATGACTTATATTGCCTCCATGACTTATACTGGGATATGAAGACATTTCAGCTGAAGTTAAAGGTTGCGGCTCGCGTTGTGCTCGCGGGCCATGATACGATTCAGGACAATAGGAGGATGGATCAGGGTGGGACACTTCACGGCGGTAGGAGGACGACTCATGGTGGGAGCTAGAGGATGCGTCTGAATTAGGCGAGGCGTATTGGGACGGATAAGGAGTATAGCCATCTAGACACTGCCTGTATATGGGGTACTTGTAAGCAAAGCAACTACTCATAGATGATGACGAGGGGCATACATTTGTTGTGGATAGGATGGCGAGTAATTTGCATCTGTAACCGGAGTACACCAGAATTCGACACCTCCCTGTGCGGTGTTATGGTGCTGGGTACCAGGATATCTTGCGGGGTTGTGGACAGGACCGCTATAGGCCAAGCTGTGTTGAAGCTCGTATGTCGCCTGCATGTAATTGGTAGTTGAATAGTAGTTTTGCGACGGAGCTATATTGTCCATTATGGTATGGGTGGTAGTAGCTTCTCCCTGTGGTAGGGGGATCTGTCGGATGAGATGTCCGATTCCGGGTAACCATTCATATAACCGGGGTGGATGAATGGGTTGAAGGGATAGTTCATCATATTGGCGGCGGAGCCAAAAGCGGCACCGCTATTCGGTGAGGTAACAGTGCGCGTTCTGCCAAAGGAGGAGAACCTGCTTGCCATGGGGTTGGCCGATGTTGAGGAATCAGAGGGGGGGAAAGTCGGAGCGGGACGACTAGTTATGGTGTGAGATATCTTTTATAGAGAGGGAAAGTAGACTAACTTAAAGCTTGACATCGTATTCGGGTGATGGTGATGATATAAACTGGGCTCATCGTCAAGGGGAGACAACGAGTTCTGTAATGTGGAGGAAGACGCCATTGAGAAAGATCAGTGTGATGGGGAAGAATATTCTTAGGACTCCTACCATTCCGATGAGATCGTGTGAGGGGTTTCAACGAAGGTGTAATAAACAGTGTAACAGAGTATTGTATGGAGCGTTATAAGGAAAAGAAAGAGAAGGGGGGAAGTGAAAAGGGTGCACTCCGAACTAATAAATGACCACACAGCAATAGCCAATTCTCCAAGTTGGGGTACGGGCAAAGGCCTTGCCATCATGGCCTAAGGCCAGCCCGACCACCAGCCACCGACCACCAGCCAACGGGGTAGATAAATTGAAAGTTCTGTTCTAGAAGACATAACCGACCAAGCCACCATCAAAAAAAACACGATCCAAGGATTAGGAGATCTAAAGAGGGTAATGGATCCGACGACATCCGAACATCGGAACACGCTTTTCGAAGGTAAGAGTCTGGGACGTGAATCCAGCTGACAAGAGAAGAGCAGATAATAGCAGTATTCCCTCAGGGATGAAATGCTGTGTCAAGGAACATATGCAGTCAATGAATGCAGCATCATAATGACGCCTGATGCAAACGAGACCAACATGGCGAACAGAGGCAGCGGGTAAGTGGGAGAAAAGTAATGAGATAAATAAAAGACGCTGAGCACCGAGCTCTGGTTTATTAGTATGTGTCTGCCGTACGATAAGGGCACGCGAAAGGAGTTTTCCGAATGTCGTGATCATGGGAGCAGGAACTGTACGTGAACGTTTGTAGTCCATATGGGCTACATAGGAACACTATCAGCTAATTACTTACTGAAAGAACGGATGAAGGACGTAGTTCCTTGTATTTGTGAGACAAGTACCTAATCAGATACTAGCATCACGCACATGCAGGGCTCCTCAAGTTCCAAAGGCGCATTTGAAGAACAAAAGTAACTTTGTGAAGCATTGGCAGCGTGGCAAACGCATGACCATGTTCCGCGAATAAGTTAATTACTAACCCAGCGCTTATACTACTAGTAGCGGTCCTCTTCGCGGCGAGCAAAATAACTGACTGACTTGCGCCGTGTTATACCTTTTCAGTCTGCTTTGTATCATTTCTTATGCGGAGAAAAAAACGACCAACAGTGCCATTTCTGACCTAGAGTTGAAGATTGAAGATCGATTGATCGGCTGATAACGTTCTCGAAGAGAGATTGATGTAGAAGTGTCGATCATTGGTAAATCATTCATATTTTTCCAGGAGTATCCAGCGCAGACCGCCAAGTGCCCTCGAGAGACTGTTGCCCTTCCATAGTACTTCAAACGACAAAGTACGTGCAGCGTGACGTAATAATGTAATAACAAGACCTCGAAGAGTCGAAAACTTTGTCAACTTGGCTCCGACTCACCCGACTCGGAGTAGTACGGAACAAAGACTTCCAGGACAACTTTTTGGGGCTCGTCAATGCCAACATGAACAGCAGCGACGATTCATTTACACGAAAGTTGTCACCTAAATCTCGACTCAATTTACACCTTAGGTCGTTCACTACCATCTTTGCTTGTCCAGATATCTGCCACCTGCGCTTATCTAAGTCAAGGATTTCATCAGTGCATACACCCTCCACCACACCAAACTCCACTCGTCCGTAACTCGTTACTCGCTTCTTCTCCGGTGATTGAAGGTGCGGTTTTGGCACCCACGCCTTCATACGACCACAATCGTCTTTTGCCAAAGCCCGCCCGCCTTCCCTCCACCAAATTCATTACACGTTTTCCTACCGACAACGCCAGACACACCGTCACTGAGTTATTTAACACCGATATTTCCGGCCTTAACCGCTCATATCTATTGGTGTCATCATCGCTACGCATTCAAAAACACGAGCATGCGCCAATACCACCGTCAATGGTCGTCACCCTCATACTCGCGAACAGCAACAATGGCTTAGACGTGTTATCTGTTTCGTTAAACTTTAAAAAAACATGAAGACATGTCCCCTTCATTTTCTTTTCCTTGGAAGTAAAACTTTCTTATCTCTCGTTACGTCGTGTGTTGTCTTGCGCTGTCCTTCAGAAACTATGGTCCATTCAACTGACGTTATTTAGTGAAGGTTGGACCTCGCAAACTGTGTTGGAGAAAGTTACGAATCTTTTAGGCATCATCGTCTTCATTGTCCTACTCATCGAGCTCGCAGTCTTTGCGCACGGCATCTATTTCTAACCTCAGGGCCCGTGAACGGCGTCATCTATTTGCATCTTGCCCATAACCCTTGACACCATTGACCAATCCCACTCTCCTGTCTGGGACCTGCAGCCTACATAGCCACGCCGTCGCTGCCGGTTAATTTCTTTTCTTTGGAACAACGCATCAAGACCAGGCAGTACGTGACCGTCCGCACCAAATCCAGTGCCAGATCCCCATCGCGCTCGCAGTCGGCATCCTCTCCCCTTGTTGTCTCTTCCCATCAATCCTATTACGACCATTGGCGCGGCCTTCACATTCTTTTTTCAGTGATTTCCACTGCATCCCATATTATTTCTCCTTCTCCTAGCTTACAGCTCCACCTCATATATACTACCCTACTATATATCAATATCCACATACATGTTCCTGTCATAATTTTACAAACCAGAGACACGGGAATTCAACCTGGTTTACGATTAAAATTTCATCATATAAAGACAAAACACTGTCAAGGGGTGGCAAACACGAGGGAGATAGTGGCACGAGGACGAAGAAGCTAAAAGGTGATGTATGAAGAAACGCTGCCCCAAGGGATGCGAAGACTCCAATCGAAGTTACAGCGTCTGTCGGTGCCAGTATCCGTGGGCTGTACCAGGAAGTAAAAACGCACGGAGGGGTTGAGGGCGGAATTGGGAGTAGCTAGCTCGGCGACAGACGTTTAAGGGAGTGACGCGAACGTGGCAGAACAGCACAGCCTGAGAATGGGTACCGAGGGCAGTGAACTTCGACCCAAGAATAATAAGGAAATATACTTACCGAGCGGTGATTGAGGTCTAGGTTTGATGTAATTGATGCGTTCAGGACTTATGTTTCCCATCTTCCTAAAGCAAGAAGTGGCAGGAGGGCCCTGGCGCAAAGTCGGCGTGAGCTTGTGGGGCGTAGAGGCAGGGCAAGGCCTCATGAGGTTGTAGTTGCAATTGAGCCTAATGCGTGCATGACGGACCTTGTTCTTCGACTGCCACCGGCGCTTGAGCTGAAAGGCGTATGATGTTGAGCAGTAGACCAATATAATTAATGTTGGTCGGGCCGTCACCCAAATCATAGTCATGTCCGTCGTCATGTGGGGAAGTATTAGTTTGGCGCCAACAGTGGGACTTGGGTACCAGTGCGTCTTCGCCATCGTGCTGTATCGCGATGTCTCGAATAGCCACAGCCTGAGGGAGGGCCGCAATGCGCACTGTGGGGTGATACAAGTACAACTTGAAATTCGGCGCATTACGCAACTTATATTGTGACTTCCATTATTGAATATTGCAACGTCGGACTTTTCATGCACGCGAAGTTGCTAATTCCCCATGTCACGATCGCCTACCATCATCATTACCCATCTTGCTCACAGGTACCCCCATATACAGGTATTACTTACCGAAGAAGAACTTCAACTCAAAGATTCAATCGTGCGTTTCACGTTACTATCCTTCATCTTTCGAGAGCCAGCGACCTTATCTTGCAGTATAAGCTACGGTAACCTAGGTCAAGGAAGCAGCCGGATCCGAATGGTCCACCTTCCGCGGGGAGCGTACTGCCGGTATCGACAAAATTAAGGAGCTCCGACTACGTATTGCTGATGAGGACGCAAGAAGGAAGAAGGAAAAGACAGATGAAATCGAGGCAGACGAAAAAAATTCAAATCAACAAGGACGAAGAAATGACCTCTGAGGAGTCTAAACCTTCTGAATCGAAGGCGGGAGAGCGTGACTCTAAGACAGAAGAAAAAACGGAGGAACGCGAATCAAAGACGGAAGAAATGGAGGTAGACGCTGGTACTAAGGAGGAATCAGGCATGCACGCAGACGATGAAGATGCAGTTAAATAGTGATTTAGGTGAGTGAGTCCAAGGCGCTTTGTCGAGCATTACTGATGGACCTTAGATTGAATAGTACAACTGTGCGTAATTAATTTGAAGGTGGTACAGTATATTTCTTCCCTGTCTGGAACACTCAACTTGTTGTTCTAGTTGTCACCTGTAGTTCGCTCAATATAATCAGGTATCAGATTTGCTCATGATGACTGATGAGCCAATGGTCAAGGATGCATTCTCCCAACGCTAGGAGATGGTGATATGGCGTCTATGTCCACGGTGTTCGAATACGCCGCTTCTTGTTCCGGGCTAAGTGGAACAAACCATGATGAGATATTGTTGACGTTAACCTGGTTGGGTGACACATGCAGCATGGTTCTTATCATGGTTGCTGTGTTGGCTCTTGTCTGATCGTTGATTTTGGCCGTTTCGAATTCTGGACCCTAAGTACGCAGCTACCTCTATCCGATGTGATCACCATGCTTATCTCCAAAGTAGCATAGAAACAATTCTAGAAACGTCCAATAACCGGCCACTGACGGCTAAGCACCATCGATCACCTACAGCAAGTAAGGTCCCACATACTAAGTCTTGTTGGAGACGGTGAGAAAGTGCCGTATATCGGTCAAGCTGCAAGGTTTCTATCCCTGGATGTGAATTGTCCTACAACAGTTTCCAGCGTTAATCAGTCTAGCATGACTATATATAAGGGTTTCTTGCAGGACGCTTCACCCAAATCTTGTGGTCCGATTATCCTGACGCCATATACCAGACCATGAAGAAAACAAATTATTTGGAGACGAGCCAGAAGGCGAGTTGCAACATATCAAGTTAATTCCATTACTGTTCATCTTTTGCTATGTTGCAGCTTCCTCCGCCGGGCACATACACCAGACTATTGTGATGTTTGGCCGTCTGGCTTCGCTGCTTCATATTGCACTGCCGCACCTCAGACTGATGGTATGTTTCCCCGTGCGAGATCTTGCACATATCCTTATTTGCGATTCCCTCGCAGTATCCTCACTAGGACTGTCGTTCCGTGGACCAATTGGGGACTTGATTTTATCTATTCCACCACGCTTTGCGTGCTGCATACCAGCCCATCTGCTGGATATGAATCTCAGTCTGAGTTTATTATTGGAACCGGTTTCAACGGGATTCTTCAAGCAACCTGCAGACCCGCCACAAATGACTTTCGACCTGGCCTGCCGTTAAACGATACAGCTTGTTTTACTTGGGATGACAACCAGCCCATTCCGGTGGTTTTTAGAAACCTGAACGGCAAACTCCTTGGCTGGTACCTAAATTTCATGGCCATCGGCGAAGTGCCTTGAACAGAAATTCTCGAAGACGTCTCGAGAGAAGTTTCGGAAGCATTCACATGCACAGCCGATGTTCACAATAATCTAAGCAACTGGCCATCATCTTCGAATCCAAGGATGCTTGAACAACGTAAGATCAGTTGTAGTGATGATCATTTCACGCCCGTGACGTTCATGAAGGGTTCAGGACACCAATCCCTCGGTTCTGACATCAAAGAGAACGCGCATTTATTCCAACACCAAACGGACATTCTTTTTACTCGCGATAGCTTTCAGGTGAGGCTTGTCGTTGTAATTCCGAGGGCAGGCTCATCAACAGAAACAAGGCTCTTGACAACCGACTAAAAATAAAATACAATCGTATTTCGTCCAAGTATACCAAAACATGAACTCGCGACCGTACTCATTTCGTTACATGACAACAGAAAGAATGGAATGATAGCGATACTAACAAGTGCAACGATACACAACCCTATACGCAACTTGAGGCTTGCACTCGGTACCGAAGGAGAAAGGAAACTGAAAAACGCACAATACGAACACAAAAAGATTAGATCTTCCTCTTCCTCTTCATTTTTAGATGTTTCTCCCGAACATGGCGCCACGTACTATCGCGCCGCATGTCGTGGACGGTTGGATCTGCGCGTTTTTGATACTCGCAACCTTGCCAATGGCATCTATTTGACGCGTTTTGAGCACCTAACAGATGTTTGCTTGTGACATGCTTCTTTAAATCACCCAGTGACCCTTCAAATACGCAAAGCTTATTGTTTTTGTCAAGCCAGTCGCAATGAAATGTAGTGGACGAGGATTCTTGTGAGTGAATGGATGGTGAAGGTGCCATATGCGGGGCTGGCTGATATGGAAGACCAGCTAGTTGCGAGCCATGCTGTGTCCCAAAATCATGGGTGAATGATTCAGGGTAGGAGCTGGAAGACGCAAGACCTGTATTGTGAGGGACATTTTGCGGTAAGTGAGGCCTGTATATGGGGGTACTTGTGAGCAAGATGGTTACCCGTAGATAATGGCGATGGACGTACGTTGGCAGTGAGCTGGATGGCGGGATATTGTTCCTTGGTACTGTATTGTGGTACTGGGAGCTATGGGAGCTTGGGGGGTTGTGGAAAGGGACGCCGTAACCTGTGTATTGGTTTGTGGTGTTGCCATTTGGTGAGTTAGCAATGAGCGTCCTGCCTGGGGGAGCGAAACTCTTGGCCGATGTTGATGAGCCAGTAAAATCAGTCTGACCGGGGAAACTAATCGCGGTGTGAGATGTCTGTTATAAAGGAAGTAGTAGTAGACTAACCGTGAATCAAGGATTGGCGTTGCATTCGGATGGTGGTGATATAGACGTCTAGATACTATGAGCTCGTCATCGGGGGATATTGTCGAGCTCTGTGACATCGAGTGAGACGCCTTTGAGAATGATCAGTGTGATGTAGAAGGATAATTTGAAAAGTACTACCATGTTGACGGCAGGGAGAGGTGAAATAGACATTGTGGCATAGTGTTGCTCGGTTATTTTCTGAATATTCCGGCGTTCTTGTCCTGTGGGATAGTAATGAGGAGATGCAGATACAAATAAGTAGGAACCACTGATACCAAGAATTGAGGCATTCATCGATGGGCAAGGGCGGGACATCATGGTAGGGTGTTGGTGTTGCTCAGAGGGCTGCTGAACATGGCGTGCTTGTCCTGTGGGTGAGAAATGACGAGATGTGATACCGGGTATTGGGGCAGTCGACGATGGGTAAGGGGGTGTCATTGCGGTAGAGTATTGCTCAGAAGGCTGTTGGATATGGCGTGCTTGTCCTGTGGGTGAGAAATGACGAGATGTGATACCGGGTATTGGGGCAGTCGACGGTGGGTAGTAAGGGGGGGACATTCTGGTAGAGTATTGCTCAGAAGGCTGCTGAATATAGTGTGTTTGTCCTGTAGAAGAGCAATGAGTATATGCAGAGATGATGGGTAGGACCCACTGATACCAGGCATTTGGGAATTCGGAGATTGGTAAGAAGGGGGAGGCATCATGATAGAGAAGCGGTCAGGTAGCTGTTTAATACGATGTGCTTGTCCTGTAGAAGAGCGATGAGGGGATGCAAAGATAGATAGGTAGGACAAGAAGAAGGGAAGGTGAACCAAGTGAGCCTGCAACAGAGGCCTTAAAAGCGGGCAGAACGGCCACGATCAATGCCACCAGCCAACCGAATAATTTGAACTTGTCATTCTAGAAAATATCTCCGACCAGACCCAGCCAACGTCAAAGTGAATGCTGTGGTGATTGTCCACGGATAGGCGTATGTTGGATAAAGGGGGTAATGGCGGTATCACCGCCATGGAACACATGTTCTTGACGGGCAGAGTGTAGCATAGTTACTCCGGCTACTATGAGTCGGATGGAGATCAAAAGGGACGCTGGGGTTCCATAGCTGAGAAGGTCTTGTCCCACATGGGATTTCATCCTCAACGGACATAAATTGAAATAAAAAAAGGGTTAGCTAGTAATAAACGGCGAAAACTGGAAACTAGGATCTAGGTCCCTCGATCGATTGAAATATGGCGGAGAAACAGTTGAATTTGAAGTTGTGGTACTACGCTTAATGCAAATCAGTTAAATCAGAGGTAGCGGATTTTTGTGGGTGATTGTAGGTGAGTACTGTGAGTGGGAGAAAGCAAAGAGATAAAAGACGCTGATGAGTCTGGTTATTATGGGTTTAGTCTTGTGATAAGCCTCGGCAAGGGAAAGGACGTGTCCGAGCCTTTTGATCATGGGAGTCGGATCATTACAGCACAACTATGATCAGCTAGATATTTCATCAATTTGATTGATCAAAGTGGATGAGACTCAAGGTTTTTTTTCTAATTTGTGGCGGTGGGCAACTAGTTGGCACTACGCATGTGCTTATTGCTCGAGCTTGATCTCAGAGTCGAAGTGTGTAAGAAGTCTCATGTGGGCTTTGAGAGGTCGTACCTAAAAAGGACTGTTCCTTGTAAATAAGTCTATTGTTACCAACCCAGCGTTGGATAGTACTCGCCTCCGCTAAGTTCGCGGCGAGCAATCGGTAGGAGAATAGTAACAGCTTGGGGTAGTAGTCACAATCGACGATCGCGATTGTCCTCGTCTCTTCCTATGTGGAGAAAAAAATGACTCAGTGAAAATTTCAGTTGGCAATCACTTAAGAGGCGTCGATCATTTAATATCACGGATCTCCAGCCCAGACTGACATCGTCATTGCCCACTTACTTCTGATTAATCTGCGAAGAATCGATAAAACCATATGCTGAAAAAACTAAAATATCAGACTAAATGCAAACGTAGCAATGACGTATAAAATATACTATGTCTAAACCCACCCATCGAATTCAAAACCAACGCATTTTGTCTCTGGCAGTCAAAAATAGATAGCTTAGCATGGAACATGCTCAAGTCGTAAATCCAGGTCTTATGGAAGCACCAGGGCCGCAGTTTGATCCCTAGCCTAGGGAAGACAGTCCTCCAAAGGAAAGAAAAACTTCCCATCATACCTTCGACGAAGCGAGAACACGGAGCAAGGGGACAGGCCGGTGTTCACATTGTATTATTAGTATCACTCGCAGTGCTGCAGGGACCCCAGTCTCCAGAACTTTTAACTTGAAAATGGTTGACCCTGAGCCCTGAAATCGTGTTTGCGCTTTTCAGTCGATAATATCGATATTGTTATCCCCGGACTGCCTCAGACGGTCCGTGGAAGTTGCCGGGGTGCGGCTCTGCTCCCGCTAACTTCAGTCCATGGAAGTTCGAACTGGAAGATGGCCTCCGATGTTAAGGCACCGGGGTATACACGGAATCAATATTGATAGCAAATTGATAATGATATAATTTAAACGCAGAGACCGTTTACCCTTGTTTATTTACCAAGTATATATAGCCTCCTGTCCGCTCGGGGACAGTACTAGTACGTGCCATGTGAGCGTATACGCGTTTGTGACAAAACTCCTCGTCCAGGTAAGCGCGAGTACGTTAAGCGCCGTCTTGGGGTGTTTGGGTTTTGTGAGTGCTCATACTGCCTTGGTCTTTTATGTGATCATTTGGTTCATGAGCTTTCTGGTCGGAAAGCCAAGGTTGGGATCCGGGAGATCACCGGCACCACAATAACAATGCGAGCACAGGACTGGCCATGGCCAACACTTCTACCAGCCAACAGGGTAAATTGAAGGTCGTATTCTAGAAGACATGGTCTGCCAATCTGCCATCAACATATTTGAGTGGCATGTTTGGAACAAAAAACCAAGGGGCCGTTACAATGTCGCCGGAACATTACAGGTTTGATTGGCGCCTTCGAAGTGCTTTGAGTACAAGATATCGAAAGACTGCTGCAGCGGGCTACGTTGAATGTGAGGCTGTCAAAAGGCCATGCCCATTAGAAGATTAACGTCCCCATTATAACAAGAGACTTCCCGTATATAGGCGGACCAACAAGGAATAACATTTTCCAAATTAGATGAATATTCTATGCGAAAAACCAAACCGTAGGTCAACGCATTCATGGATGAATCGATGATATATATCTTATATCAGTATCAAGCATTGCAAAAAGTAATTGACGACGAAGAATCTGCACTCAATATCGCAACTGACGTACTGGTGGGAGCTCAGCTGACTCGACAAGAATGCATCAACAGACAACCACGATGACAACACCTTTGCCGTGCGCAGCTCCGAGCCTTCCCAATCCACCCTGTGGCCTCCCGTGGTAAGTTTTGTTTGCAAGCCAGAACAATCGAGTTTACATTACAACCATGGACCATGGGCTTTCATGCCAATGCAAAGGGCCCTGACATGGTTGCTGTCCTACAAACACAGAAGGTAAATTTGGAAAATGAGGGAATTTTCGCATTGGACGCCATCCGGGATCCCTTGGCAAGCGCTAGCATCAGGCTCGTCATAAATATGGGAGTGTTGTAAAGCCGGAAACTTTTTTGCCAAATAATAGATCCAAGGATGGCCAGACTCATGATCATTACAGTAATACTGTTCAAGTTGACGATGAAATCTGAGTCTAGCGGCGAGCGCTATGTTGTGGGCAGAAGCCGCAAGTCCGCCAGCCGGTTCTACCAAACCGGTTCTGTCCGACAGCCGAGCCTCATGCGGCAGAATACGGCAGAGTGAACAAATGTCGCGACAACAATCTGGTCCTGGATGCTACAACTCAGTACTCAGTACTCAGTACTCAGCACTAGTCCTGCACAACACTAGTGCAAACACTGTCCAGATACTCTTTGCATCCAAGGTCGCGACAACCAACTCCCAAACGATCTTATTCACAAGTATAGAACATGCCAGATTCTCTTCGTTACCAAAGGCCGGGTTAATGGAAAGCCAATTCGTCGACGTCATGCATACTTGCACACCAGTGCCCAGCCTGGCATCAACATCGATGTAGCTGCTGATTAGAAGCCAATTTTACATGGGCATCACCAATCGCACCTCAGACTCGGAACATCAATGATAATCTTGTGCCACAGGTCCTGAATCCATACCACTTGATGGGATCGATGCAGCCTTTGCCCTACAAGGCTGTCGACCAAAGTTATTCCACCGAAATCAGTTGACGAGATCATGGTAGGACGACGGACAGTGGGATGCGGACATGCTAAAATTTTTACTTGGCCTCTTTACCAACTCTTTACCATCTGTTCTTCGGGCCATACGACTTGAACATCACTCAACCCAGTCCCACTCAAATATTTGCCTGCCATTGGCCAACTCATTAAAGTGTTCATGGCCTGCTTGTCTTCAACTCCGATGGCAAAGACTCGACTTTTTATATCTCTAGCCAGATCTTTCTGTCATACCTACACTGATCAGACTTACCACACTGGCACCCAGCGCGTATTCTGCTCTTGCAGAAGGTTAGATGGCGTGTTAGTCAAGAACCCTAACCAGCGATATGGAAGGAGGTCAGCACTATAGTGGTCGCCGGATGTCTCATTGAACACTAATCTAAACACGCAGTCAACATGCATAGACGGTGTGATGGGTCTGCCTGCGCAGACTGCGCCGCAGAACATTAACACTTCCATCTTTCATATCAGGAATGCCATGCCAGTATCTCATACAACTCCAGCTGTGATCGCTCGATTATACGCTCACAATAGGAATGAAGCGAAGTAATTACAGCCACAGTGGTCTCACCGAAACTTCTACCATTTTTCGAGACCATACTGACCGGCAACCCGGAAGTGAGACGCTCGGCCTTACTTTTCGGTTGCGACCGGCGCTTGAGCTGAAAGGCGTGTGATGTTGACAGTAGACCAATCATGATGTAATTAATGTGGTCAGGTCGTCACCCAAATTATAGTGATGTCCGTCGTCGCGCGCGGTGCTTGCAGTGTGGGGAAGTGAGTTCGCCTTGCGATGACGCTAACGGTGGGACTTGGGTACCAGTGCATCTTCGCCATCATCTTGTATTGCGGTGTTCCGAATAGCCACAGGCAGGGCCGCATAGGGCGATACAAGTACAACTTGAAGGCGCATTACGGAATTTACGTTACGACTTCCATTATTGAATATTGAATAGTGCAACGTCGGACTTTTCATGCACGCTAACTCCTCACATCACGATCACCTTCGTATGTAATTTGCATGTTCGACTCTGCATTTTCTTATGGGTGTGAGCAACAAAACGTGTCTTGAATAGTTGGACTATCTCCGTGAGTGCCCAGCATGTGAAACCATGAGGCTGCCATATGTTGATTAGTCGCTAATAGGTGCAGACTTTATTGTCTTTCGCACGTAAAAACTGATATTAATGTTGCGCGTGTCTAGGTGCATGCCTACAATGATTCCAGTTATCTAATCGTGGACAGCATGCTTTTCATTTCTGGGGGTTGCCAGCTAGCATAGGTTCACGACTTCTCCGGTTATTGGCATCTACCTTGTAGGTTCGGCCGGTCAAGGCTTAGCTCATTAACGATCTTTGCCTCAGTTCTGCTGTGTAAACCCTTCTATGGCTGCCTACTACGGACTCTTCTTTGTACTGCATTGAATCTGTGCTTTGGAACTGGGTGAGCCCTTCCTGATTTCTGATACGAATGCGTGGAGATTTATCTTAACGTGAACGATTGAAGCTCTCCGTGGTCTTAAGGGGGCTCAACCAACTCGTGGTGCTGGTGAGGCAGGATCAGGCTCTCCGGCATGCATCAAGTCTTGATCCCAAATAGTATACGGAGCTTCATTTGACCTGCGCCCTATCAATTTCAACCACTCGTATGGCTGATCTATCCATGTTTCCCACCTGGGTATTGCCCCCAAAAACATAATGTCTACGTTGAGGCCACGATCTTGGCATGATACTCATCGTGTCATTTCAGCAGGACGGGGACCTCTTTATCCGCACGGGAGAACTTTTTCGAGTTTCAAGCTTGCCTACTCAGACCCTGCCGTTAGGAAGCAAGTATACGCATGTACAGTTCAATTTACAGAATGGCCATGCTCTCCGTGAGCTTCTGTGCATTGGCTCCGTGCTGTCCCCTCC